GTCTGGGGTTGTTGAGTTTTCGGGTTTAGGAGCTTTCTGGTCTCAGGGTCTAGAGTGTAGGGTTCTTTTCCTCTTAGGGTTTAGGGTTTAGGGTTTAGGGTTTAGGGTTTAGGGTTTAGGGGGGTTTAGGCTTCAACACGTAGCACACAGTCTTGGGGGGTGTCTCATACTGTATGTATATGGGCACTGTAAGGTTCCTTGAGGGGTTCCTCTAAGGGTTAGGGGCCTTAATGAATAACACAAGTGTCTTAGACTATTTGTATATGCGCAGTTCTCTCAAGCAGGGTCCGCTTTAAGGTCTTTTTTTTTATCAGGGTTCCGTACTATTTTGGTGGCCTAAACAGGGACCACACGTTGTTCAGAACTACCCATGTATGGACTGGAGAGTGCCGTTTAAAGGGCTCCTTTAAATTTAAGGGTTCTGTATGAGATTAAGGGTTGAGGGTTAGGGGCCTTAGCGCGCAGCGCAGGGTGTTGGGGTTTCTTATACCGTGGTAAGAAGGGGACTAGAAAGGAGCACTAACATGTCCTCTATACCTAAACCCTAAACCCTAAACCCTAAACCCTAAACCGGGCCTAAACCCTATAAACCTGAAAGCTTGCTTAGACTGGCACCGCCATTTATGGCCCTTCTCCTGGCCACCTGATGGTTGCCAAATCATTCGAGTATCACATCCCACAAAACGCGTTATTGTAACTACTAGGTGTTTAGGGTTTAGGGTTTAGGGTTAAGGCTCCCAAGAGCAGCAAGGTTCCGCCTGATTGGGAAGGCGGAGTACTGGCCTCTTGACGATGGACGAAAGTGAAGTCACGTTGGGGGTTTGGGCTTTAGGGGTTTACGGTTCAGGGTTCAAGATTTTAAGGTTTAGGTTGAAGTGACGTCTGGGATGTGGCTACAATCTTAGGGTTGTATGAGAGCCCTATCTATATCTAGGCATATCTAGGCTCCTGTTTCCAGCTTTCCTGCTATTAAGGGCTAAGGCAGGGCGTTGGTTTCGGTAGCCATGTATTTGATCCTTCAAAGGGTCTGGGAAGAAGTTGAATCATGTTGGGGGCTTGGGCTGAGGGTTTAGGGTTTGGGGTTTAGGGTTGTGAAGGGTGTAGTGGTTAGTGTTTAGTTTAGGCATTGGGTTTGGCTTCGGTGTGTGGGTGCATGTACCCAGAGCGTACAGGGCCCTAAAGCACCTATGCAGGAACCCGTCAAGCACATGGGCACTTGAGGGAAGCCACCTGCGACGGGTGTGAGTGTTCGGGGTGTAATGCCCTGAGACCCTGCTTCCAGGACACCCTAAACCCTAAACCCTAAACCTTAAACCCTAAACCCTAAACCCTAAACCCTAAACCCTAACCCCTAAACCTTAAACCGTCGCATCGTAAAGTCCCGACTGACCATCTGCCCGGTCAGAGAAGCCTGCAGCGACTCTCCTTAAGAGATACCTTCATGGCAGCTTAGTCGGTTAAGGCCACCATACGGGGTTCGTATAGCTGTATACCTTAAGCTGCCAAAGCCTGGCAAACGGCTTCCTGGGCCGGCCTTAGCCATTACCTTCTTCGGTTGAATGTTTTTAGGGTTTAGGGTCGTTCGTTCTAGTCTAGGGTTTTGGTTTAGGGTTGGTGGTTTAGGGTTTAGTACACTTCCTAGTTATCGGTTGATTTGCAAGCGCCTCGCTTGGAATTATCTACATATAGCTTCACCCTAAACCCTAAACCCTAAACCCTAAACCCTAAACCCTAAACCCTAGCCCCCAACTCCGAAACCCTGAGCCCGAAACCCTAAACCCAACTCCTGACAGGAAGGGGGTCCAAGGCCAAGGTCCTCCGGGTACTTCCTAAGGTTCGTTAAGGGGTCCTAGTACCCTTCCGCCTGGAACCTAAGGGTCCTATAAGTAATTAGGGTAGGGTTTAGGGCTTTAGGGGTTTAGAGTTTAGGGGTTTAGGGTTTGGGGGTTTAGGGGCTTAGGGTTTAGGGTTTAGGGTTTAGGGTTAGGGTCCTATAAGTAACCCTAAACCCTAAACCCTAAATAAGCCTATGATTCTCATAAACCCTCAACCCCCAGCGCCTTCACTAAACTCAATCCCCAAACCCTACAACCCTCAACCACCAAACCTTTGCCCCCTAAATCCTGGCAAATCACCCAGAAGACCCAAGAGGTCTGATAGGGTTTAGGGGTTTAGGGTTTAGGGTTTAGGGTTTAGGGTTTAGGGTTTAGGGTTTAGGGTAGAGTGTAGTGTTCCAAAGTCAAAGCCAGTAAGTCTGGCATTTTTTGTTTCGTCAAGTGAGGAGCAGTCCTCCTAAACCCTAAACTCTCAGCCCCGAAACAGTGAAACCCCAACGCCTAAACCCTGAAACCCTAAACCCTCAAACGCTGAAGACTCTTAGGCATGATTATTCTTTTTACGATGAATGCTATTATCGTTATTGTTGCTATTTTCATGTTTTTACTATTAAACCCTAAACCCTAAAGACCCTAAACCCTAAACACCTAAACCCTAAACCCCTAAATCCCTAAGCCCGAAGCCCAAACCCTGAACCCCTGAAGCCCTAAACCCTAAGCCCCTAAACCCCCAAACCCTAAACCCCTAAACTCTAAACCCCTAAAGCCCTAAACCCTAAACCCTGAACCCTAAAACCCCGGACCCTAAAACCCCTAGAAGCCCTAACTAAGCCCCCGAGGCTGGCGCACGCCTACCTGGAGCTTGGCCGGCGCGAGCCTGGCCTAGGGAATCCCTTGGAAGCTGCCTGCGAGGCCCCAAGCAGGGCCTAAAGGGTTTAGGGTGTTTGGGGCATCGTCGTTTCTTTAGGTTTAGGGTTTTAGGGTTTCGGGCTTTAGGATTTTAGGGTTTAGGGCTTTAGGGTTGTAGGGTTTAGGGTTTTGAGACCTCACACTTGGAAGAATAAGAAGTTTAGGGCTTACTTCGATAGTATATAGTGGGTTTGTCTAGTCGAAAGAGGCGTAGACTTGAGTAGACTTGTTCGTTTTGTGTCGTTGTGTTTCAGTGTTTAGGGCTTAGGGCGTTTAGGTTGTTTTTGCATGACCTTAAACAGTTCATATTATTTCAAGGAGCTTTGATGAGGGTTTTTGAAGGGCGTTGAGCAAAGGATTTGATGAGGGTTTCAGCTCGGTCATGTTGGGTCGTCATGTCGGGTTGTCCAAGGGCACCACGGGCTTTCTCAGGGTTCGGGGTGTAGGGTTTATGGTTTAGGGTCTAGGGTTTAGGGTCATCGGTTTTGGCACTGGTGGTTTGGAACTCCGGATTTGGGCCCAGGCGACTGATGCACAAATCCTGTGCTGGCTTCAAGCCAACAAAGGCGCTTGATTTCTTCGTTACATTGCTCATTCTAGGTTCGTTGTATAGTTCTAGTATTACGAAAATGTGTTCGAACGTTAAGGCCCCTACTTGAAGGTTCATGGGTAGTCATAAGTGCAGTTATAAGTAGGGCAACTGTAATTATAACCCATCTTAGGGGACTTATAACCCTACTTATAACTACCCTACCCATGAACCTCCAAGTATATATGACTTGAATTATGATGTAGTCCTTTTTCCTTAGCTCAACAGCAGGTGCTCAGCGCTGGCTTAGCATCCGGCCGTCTGGTGCGCAGTCACGCCGGGACGCGCGAGATCGCCGGTCGAGTGCAGAGGGTGCCCGCTTTCTTCGGTGTTTTTTGTGGATTTTTTTGGTATCAGAGACAGCCCTAAAGCCTACACCCTAAACCCCAAGCAAGTGTGAAACATGGTTATTGAACTAGTTCTATTTGGGTTGAAAGGGCGCTCAAAATTTAGCGGCTGCGGATGTAGGGTTGCGAACCCTGAGTCTTAAATCGAATCCTTAGGGACTTCAGGGGTCTTAGTTCTAACCCTCAACCCCGACTTAAATACCCCGTAATACCCCTAAACCCCACACCCTAATCCTGTTGTTTGGGGTAAATAGGGTTCGGGGTTCGGGGAAGACAAACCATCGGGCTGTGCAGGTTGCTATCCAAGCTAAGGCGCAGCTAAGGGTTTAGGGCTTAGGGTTTAGGGTTTAGGGTTCGTGAAGAGTTAGAACGGGGCTTTGGGGCTATATAGCTATATTGTACCTATAGTGATGGGCTTCTGTATTTCTGGGTTGAGACGTGCTTTTGGTACCGTCATCGTGTTTATGAGGCTTTTGGTAGGAGGCTACACGCATACCCCTAAGCCATGCCCCAAAGCCCGATAGTGCAAGGTCTCGAAAATAGTACGATCAATCGCATGGTGCTACCCCAGACTCAAGCCTGGAATGGGTATCAGTGGTGTTTAGGGTTTAGGGCTGTCACCAACAGCGCATACTATTCCTTCAGCGACGAATGCTATTGGAGTCGCATCTCAACGCGATATCCATACGTTTGTCTGCCTTTCTGTCCATCCATCCATCCATCCATCCATCCATCCATCCATCCATCCATCCATCCATCCATCCATCCATCCATCCATAAATCTGTCTATCTATCTATCTTTCTTTCT